TGTGTTGAACAATACACTCTGACTGCAGCTGCAATTTAATCTCGTGTTTGTTTCATTGCAGGAGATGCAGGAAAACGTGAAGAAATGCAAGAACTTCCTGGCTACGCTCATCAAGCTGGCGTCCCACAACTCTCCTTCCCCAGATACCTCCAAGAATGTGAAGGCCCTGGTGCAGGACCTGCTCGTAAGTCCACCGACTGTTTCTGCAGCCACGTGTTCATGCTCATGTGTTTGTACTCATTACTTCATGTGTTCATGTGTGTTCAGGATGCAAAGATCGAGCCTGAGGAGTTCACCACTCGGCTGCAGGCTGAGCTGAAGTCCTCCCCACAGCCCTACCTCATCCCCTTCCTCAAGGTACCAGCATAAAAATACCTGCGACTGCAGCCAGTGCAGCGACTGCAGCCAGTACTGCCGTGTTCTGTCTGTGGCCCAGTTTAAACACTGATGTTATTCCTGACAGAACCTTGTTCATGTCTTTAGAAAAGCCTTCCTGCCCTGCGTCAGTCTCTGCTCAGCAGCCAACAGTCTCTGGTGACCGCTCCCCCCCCCACCTCAGCCCCTCCCTTGGCGGCACCTGGATCCGTCACCGCCGGTGCCGCCATCAAACCACGGCTGCCCATTGGACCGACCGGCGGCACTGTCCGGCTGAACACACCGATCACAAACACTGCAGCTCTGGTAAGAACAGTCGGACTAAAGTTACCTGAAACTGAATTCATCCTCCGATGGTGATGGTGGTGATGATGATGATGATGATGATGATGATGAAGGTGATGATGATGATGCTGACGGGGCGTTTCCGTTTATCCTGCAGGCGGTAGGTCGACCCGGCGTTCAGCCTGTTCAGACTCGGACTCCTGTGGTCATCAGTCAGACGTTCAGACCTCCAGGTGAGTCCAGCTGCTGCCCTGCAGGTTTGTTAACAGGACGTTCTACCGGTGCTCCATAAGGTCACATACAAATATGATTTTTCAGTGAAACCTGCAGAAACATCTGTTAGTGTCCAGATTCTGCTGTACAGGTGTTTATCCTCCACACAGTTGTTTCTGTGTGTATGAACCTGCTCAGGTTAAAGCTCAGAGTGTGAGGGTCAGAACATGTGGAGCACAAAGTCCTCCTCAGCTGTCTGAGCTCAGTTCAGTGTTATTTATATTGCACCAGTTGACGATGTGCCACCTGACTGCCCTGAACATGTCGGTGGAGATGGTCAACAGAACAAGAAGCCAACAACTTGTCAGGTACAGAATGTTGGATGTAAGGCTGCAACCAGCGTCTGAGCCACCAGGGGGCAGCAGTCAGTTCCTCAGACCTCCACAGGTTCAGCCCTGGACATGGACAGGTAAAGACCTCACCAGTTTAAACAGCAGCTCTGTTTCCTTCTTCAGGTACGCTGCTACGACCCACAACTATCGCTGGCAAGACTCCGGTGAACCTGACAGCACAAGCCAATCAGAAGAAGCTGAGCGACCCGGGGGGCGGGACTTTCAGGTGAGTTTGATCTGCAACTAAACTCCCACTGCAGGTGAGCTGAGAGTTTCATCCCACCACACAGACACGAAACAGGTCAAACAGAACCAGAACCACCTGAAACTGGACATTTTCTCATCATGGTTCTGTGTCTCATCCTCATGTGGACGTCTGAGAGTCTTTTTAAATGTCCTCAAACCACTCGTCTCATAACTAACGCTTTCAAACCAACACAATCAGACTGTCGTTAATATAAGAGTAACGGAGCTGCTGATGAGTCTGCTCAGTGTTTCTGTTCAATCAGCCGCATGAAGACAGGATCAGCTCTACTGAGCAGCTGATCTGCTAGTTATTATCCAGTGGATAGTCATATTTGTCAGAGCTGACAGCTAGTTGGTGCTGAGGACTAGTTAGTGTTGACCTGTAGCAGACAGATGGACCAGCAGGGGGCAGCACAGTCCACAGGTTCAGATCAGTTCAGTCCTTAATCAATAGTTCATGTAATGGCAATTTCTGAAGTCCTTCGATGCCGTTACTGCACAGGTGGAGCAGAGTGAACCGACGCAGACCAAAAACAGAATCTCTGGTCCGTCAGTGGATGTTTATTCGATGATATGCAAGAAATGAACATCCAGCGGTTTTCCTATGGTGAATCTGGTATCTGTGCTGGTCTGCTGCTGGTCTGCTGAGAACTGTTGGCTCTCCCCCTACCTGTGCCCTCCCCTTCCTGTCACCTGTATCCTCTCCATGTACACCCTGTGTCCAGTTACCGCCACCAGGTGTCCAAACAGTCCCCATTAAACCACCTGCCAACAACACACATAAATGGCTCCTGCAGTTCATATTAATGGACGTGATGAAGACCTGACCACGTCTGAAGGGACTCGTTGGTATGAAGGTGGAGGACTGATGAAGCAGCCGTGAACCTGTTTCTTCTTCTTCACCTGTAGAGACGACGATGACATCAACGACGTGGCGTCGATGGCGGGCGTCAACCTCAACGAAGAGAACGCTCGTATCCTAGCAACCAGCTCGGAGCTCGTCGGCACTAAGATCCGATCCTGCAAAGATGAATCCTTCCTGCCCACGGGCCTGCTGCACCGCCGCATCCTCGACACAGGTACGTCTGAAGGCACCTGGACAGGTACAGAGCTCCACCAGTGTCTGGTTTATACCAGCCGCTCTCAGTTAGCAGCATCGGTAACTCCCTAAATCATTCCTTATGTTTCTGTATGTAGACGCTCTTTAACCAGAACGATGTTTTTAGTGATCAGTATGATCATTATTATAAAGTAAGATTAAAAAAAGCATTAAAGCATAAAGCACATTATTATTATTATTATGTCTTGTTATTCAGACGTCAGATTCTAGGTGTTACTTGCATCCTGAACAGAACCATGAGTTTTAGTGGCTGAATGTTCTGCTGGATCCATGTCTGGCTCCTCAGAGAAGCCCAGCGGCTCAGATCTGGGTAGAAGGAGATGAATTCAGTCTAAATCCTCGTTCCTGATCAAAACGGTGAAACGTGGAGAGCTGAGAGGCGTCAGAGCTCTTCATGATGCTGGATGGTCTACAGGTATACACAGTGACAGACAGGACGTCTCACACATCTGTTGAACTCTGTACATCTGAATCTGCTTTAAAGACTCAACCACACCTGAAGTGAGAAGAGAACAAACGGTGACTCAGGTCCAGTTCAGCCTGGTCCAACAACCAAATAGCAGACACAACCTGAACTTCACAGAGATCAACCCCAGCCCTATCAACACCGACAGCCAGACGTACACGGTTCCTAACATGACTGGAGACTCTGAACTGGTGACACGATGAGACAGAACTTCCAGGTTTTAATCGTTGGTAGTTCCTCAGATGTTGTTCAACCAGACTCAGAGCTGCTGACGGTGAGTCGACGGGCAGATGTTCAGAGAAGATTCTCAGAAGGTTTTTGACTGAAGTTTCACAGACGTCTTTATAAATATCAGTTTTATGCTCTAAAGAAAGTGAATCCTAAATCGCTGGTGGGGCAGAGATGATCCTAACGCTGGAGGATCTGAGATGAGCCCAGAAGGACCTTCAGGTTCTGGATCCAGTTCTTCTTCTTGTCTGAACGCAGCGAGTTTCTTCCAGAACAAACATCATGTCATGTTAATGTTCACATGATGCCTGTTTCTGCTGCTGTCGCTTCATCAGGACCAGACTCCTCCAGTGTTGGTGTCCATGTTTAGGATCTGCAGCTGGTCAGGAGGACAGTTCGACTTCACTCAGCAGCTCAGTAGAAGAAAGCTGCTTCTGAGCAACACTTTACACACTCTTGTTAACGTTATTATCGTCAAGCTGAGTTCAGCTGCTCAGACCTGCAGTCTGATGATTGATCAGCAGCAGAAAACGGTTCAGGTCGGCTTTAGATCCATTTAACACCCGATTCCTTTCATCAGAGCTGCTCATCGCTTCTTCCTCAGTGTCTTCAGACAGAATAAGAACGGTACCATAAGAGTTTTCTGTGGTTCTGTCTGTCCAGGAACATGAAGTCTTAAAGGTTTGTTCCACGACTGTCTGTCCTGCAGTTAGCTCACACTGGAGTCACCACGAGGAGGTGATTATCAGGTAGGATGTCAGTGAGTCAGGGGTATCTGAGAAGGAAGAAGCTGCAGAGAACGTCACTTCAACGTCTGGCCCTTAACGTGGTTGTGTCCCGTCGGGTATCACCATCAGCTCCAACCTCTCAGTGACCTTCAGCAGGACGTAAGAACTGAAGATTCTCTGAAACCAACCTGCAGCTGAAGCAGGAAGAAGATGAAAAAAGAAAGAACTAAAGACAAACTGAGTCTTCTTCTCTTAGCTCCTAAAGTCTGCTCCAAGATGTTCCTCTGTGATTTCTGTGACCTGAGAAGATCTGATCACCTTCACATGTCGCAGTAAGACTGGAAGTAAAGATGTGAAGTCCCAGTCCAAGTGTGATGGAGCTACATCTGAGGTCTAGCTGTGACATGGAGGAGGAGGTTCTGACACCAGCAGACCAGGTCGCCATCAGGAGGAGAACAGGGACATGTTGTGTTCATGATGTTTACACTCAGAGCTGCAGGGAGTTCTGTTCACACCGACCTGCTGACGTTTGTTTTCTGGTCTTCAGCGAAGAAGCTCGGCGTGACTGAGGTTCCTCTGGAGGTGGTGAACTTCATCTCTCACGCCACCCAGTCCAGGCTGCGCTCGCTGCTGGAGAGGGTTTCAGCTGTCGCTCAGCATCGCACCGACGGGGGGAAGGTAAGACGAGACAGCAGAGTTCTGGTTCTGAACGGATTAAACCGTCTGGACAACAAAAGAGTTTGTTTCATCTGAAGCTTCCCTCACTAAACTCTGTGTTCGGAAAGATTTAACAAACCTTTACACATTCACTGTTCTGACACGGCTCCATGAATCTAACAAGAGGAGTTTTATTCCACAGAACCTGCTGAACACGGTTGTTCCAGCGTGTTTAACGGGTTCTGCAGGCCTTAAAAAGACTCTGAGCAGCTCAGGCTTCATTCACAAACACCTGGAATGTTTTAGTCACTCCTTGTTTTTGTATTTTCCTGCAAATTTGCAGCAAACTTTGTTCAGAATTTTCGATAAATCAGCTGCTGTTTATCTGCAAGTTCCAGAATGTTTCAGAAAGTTAGTGCTGATGAGGAAAGAGGAGATCTTCAGACTATTAAAGGTGTTTAAGGCTGATCAGGCTGATGGTTAAAAGGACATTTAACTCACGGATAATATTCTGTGTATAAACGATGTTTATAGGATTTTTGGATTTAAGCCTTTTTGAATGTAATTTGATTTTGTGTGATGCGTGTTAAATCCACTAATATCTGAATGGAGTCTGGTGTAGGATGCTAGTAGCTGCTCAGTGTTTCCCTAAACACAGATGGATGTTAAATCAGAATGGAGTCTGGCCCCGTGGCAGTAATCAGATGTGTTTTCATTCCTCGTCAGGATGAAGAACATTATGACCAGACGTCAGACGTCCGCTCTCAGCTTCGTTTCTTCGAGCAGCTGGAGAGGATGGAGAAGCAGAGGAAAGATGAGCAGGAGAGAGAGATCCTGCTGAAGGCTGCAAAGGTGAGAAAACACCTGGAACGTTGATCTAAAGGTCTCACTGTCCAGACTTTACTGCTCAATGAACCTTCAGACTAAGTCAGGTTTTTGTTGGACTGTGGACAGATTACACCAAACCAGCTGATGCTTGTGGTGATGAACACTGAGTTTGTTGTTGATGACGGTTTTCGGTGTCGGTCCGTTTCCTGATGAAGACTCTGGGTGTGTCTCCACCTTAACTGCTGCTGAAGGTCCTTCACACAGAACCACACATCTGATCTTTGTGCTTCACTTTCAGAGTCGTGCCAGACAAGAAGATCCTGAGCAGGCTCGCCTGAAGCAGAAAGCTAAAGAGGTAGGAACATGGCAGAGCCACGAGCTGCACTTCACCTCAGCATCTCCACATTAACATCCTGAGCTGCTGAGCTTCAACGCTTGCAGGGTTCAGCCGTCAGCTCATCAGGGAATCACGTTTAGAGGCTGATGGAGCACAGCAGCAAGGAGATAAGCAGAAAGAACCAATGATTCACCAATAATTCACCAGTGATTCACCAATAATTCACCAATAATTCACCAATGATTCACCAATAATTCACCAGTGATTCACCAATAATTCACCAATAATTCACCAATGATTCAACAATAATTCACCAGTGATTCACCAATAATTCACCAATGATTCACCAGTAATTCACCAATGATTCAC